TACGGTAATTTGAATAGCGAACGGCAGACAGCCTGCGGTTCGCCATTCGAGAATAGCGAATAACCGTCCAACTTCTGATTGCCGCAGCGGTTTCGTTTTCAATCACCAAATCAGCAACCACGCCCAGGGCAAACACCAAACTATAGATTTCGCTACCCCCAGGGAGCAAATGCAGAATGTCCCAGTCATAAAGCTTGTGGTTTGGAGGCGTGTAGTATTTACCATGAGAGCAGCTGTCATCATAGGTTGTGACGTAATGCAAAACCGCACGTTTAACGGAAATTAATAATATTTCAGTCGATAAAACTTAGATCTAGCAATAAAATCTACTGAACAAAAGAAGTTGCCTTATATTATGTACAAACATTTAAATACAATTTAAAATATGTCTATAAACAAGCAGTTATTATACTTTATTCGTCGATAAGACGATAAAATATAAGACTATATACAAAGTTGTAATACAACAAGTCTGGACTCATTTACGCTTCCGTACTTCAGCTTTTCAATCGTCAAGTTCTCTTTCTTTTGTAGCAAAAAAACTTCTTTTTTTAAAAAAATTGGGTCTCTTAGTTGATACGCAAAAACATTATCTACGTACGAACATTTTACGGAAGAAAGCTAAATTAACAAACAGTTTATGAAACAAGAACATCGACATAGTCAGCATTCCACAAATTTATGGTCAAAACATTGTTGATTTTAGCAAATAAATCTATTATCAAGTCAAATGCTGACATACATTTTTCAAATTGTTAAACTACATTTACACACATAATTGTCTCCGGATTTTCCCCAGTATTCCCAGTATTCGATAATGTTTCTTATCTCCATATTTCCTTTGTTTACAAATATCTTGAATGATTAAAAAGAGGTAACAACCTTTACTTGAAACAACGTAGGAAGGTCTCTGGTATACCCAATATATACGCTACGTGCGTTACAATAAATGCTTAAATAAGGATCCTGTCTCAGAAGATGTATAATCTCTATATTAAGATTCCCAGACAAAATATATTTGAAAAATGTCTTATTTTTCAGCCGCATTTTCAACTTAAATATATATATAAACTTTAGACATTTAACATCGCAGAACCTAATTTAGATTACTTTTTGTCGTACATAATTATGCTACAGAATTTCCTTGACCTAGAATAACATGAAAGTGGCCTTTTATGTTTATGTTACAATTTTCTAGAGCAAACAAAAGACAATTAGTCATCTTGTTCATTATGAAAAATGCTCTTTATTTCAAAACAAGAGGCCCAGGGGCCACAGCGCTCACCTGAGCACATCAGGCTTGAATTTACTCCACCCCCCCTTCCAGGCGTTCATCATTTGAACAAACTAGAATCTACACTACCTGAGGATGATTCCATATGAATATCACTAATCATAGCTTTGAAGTACTTGAAAAGAAGATTTTAAAAGGTTTCCCTATATATCCCTATGTAAAACTTAGGTCGGCCATTTTGGCCCCACCCTAGCCCCGGGGGTCATGATTTGAACAAACTTGAATCTACACTACCTGAGGATGATTCCACATGAGTTTCATCTTTCCTGGCCCAGTGGTTCTGGAGAAGAAGATTTTTAAAGATTTTTCCTATATATTCCCTTGTAAAACTTGGGTCGGCCATTTTGGCCCCACCCTAGCCCCGGGGGTCATGATTTGAACGAACTTGAATCTACACTACCTGAGGATGATTCCACATGAGTTTCATCTTTCCTGGCCCAGTGGTTCTGGAGAAGAAGATTTTTAAAGATTCTTCCTATATATTCCTATGTAAAACTTGGGTCGGCCATTTTGGCCCCATCCTTGCCCCCAGGGGTCATGATTTGAACAAACTTGAATCTACACTACCTGAGGATGATTCCACATGAGTTTCATCTTTCCTGGCCCAGCGGTTCTGGAGAAGAAGATTTTTTAAAAATGCCATTAATTTTTAACAAATTCATGATTATCTCCCCTTGGAAAAGGGCGTGGCCCTTCATTTGAACAAACTTGAATCCCCTTCACCCAAGGATACTTTGTGCCAAGTTTGGTTGAAATTGGCCCAGTGGTTCTTGAGAAGAAAAAGAAAATGTGAAAAGTTTACGACAACAACGACGACGACAACGACAACAACGACAGACGACGGACAAATTTTGATCAGAAAAGCTCACTTGAGCCTTCGGCTCAGGTGAGCTAAAAATAAGTTTTATATGGCAAAAATAAAAATGAATTCATTAACGGGAAGTACAGAACTCACACGTTTAAAATAAAACAAAATTAAAAGTATCCATGGTTTCTATTTATTTCTTTAAACGACCTTGTTTTGCTTTCAGTGTGTTATTTAAGGTAAAATTGGAATACAATCTTATCCTCCATTAAAGATATAAAGAATTATAAGCATATGAAGATGAATTTCTTTTCTCTGTCTTACAATGTATTCCTCTCATAAGTTTTCAATAAATCACACTAAAAATACAAGTGTAATTTTTGTAAATCTTTAATATTGAAGATATCTTTAAGCTGTCTTTCTTCCCTACATTTAATTTACATCGGATGGTAAAAATGACAGACTTACATGTAATAACCTTCCGAAAGGATTCTGTCATCGTAAGGAAATACATGATCATCTATATTTGATTGGTAACGCAGAAGCCTGATTTACTACGACCTTTGTCAAGCTGTCTGTGTACATGATTAATAAAGCTAAAGGATCTCAATTTTCATTGGTGGACCCCTGTCCTGAAAAAGATTCACACACTGACACCTTTAATTATAGCAAATTTGTGAAACAATGCGTTCAGATGCATTATTTTGTTTATTGTACTTGTTTGTTGTAACCTCTGTTGTCCTTGGTCAAAAAAGAAGAGAAAACAGAAGAGACAGACATCCACTCGTCAGTTCTGGCCGAACGAGAGGTAGTAATATCATTTTGTTTATTCATTTCCTCATTTACCTATCATAATAATGCATGTTTTGTAATATAGTCAGGTGTATGAGCCTGTTATGCTAAACCTGTTTACTTTTTGTTTTTAAAATTCCTAAAAATAACAGTCAATTATTCGTAGAAAATGCACATCTGGTAGCAGGATTTGTAATTAAATCCTTCAGCTGCCCTAAATGTCTTTTTAGATAATTTTTTTGAATATTTATTGTTATTTCATAAAATAAACACAAATCATTGTCAGATGTATGTTTTCCTTGTGCTAATCCGTAGGTCAAATCACTGGAACATTGCAAAGAAGAAATAATGGAAGGAATCTGGAAACTAATAGAGGTATGTTGTTGGGGGTTTTTTGTATATAAAAATAGGTTTGCTAATGATTGGGCGAAATTGATACCCCCTGGGAATTAAAAAAATTCGGAGAAAATCTGGTCACTATTATTCAAATGATGTAGAATTCATTCATCAAACTTTTATACATGAAAAGTCAACAATTGCTGTCGTTTCCAATGTCATTTAGATAAATCGATGAATATTATCAATTTACAATAAATTTCATACGAATGCAGAAATAATATATATCCCAGTGATCTTAAGTAAGTCTGATAATACTATTTCAAATTTAAATATTTTCTAGAAAAACACGTTAAAGGCTAGCTAAAGTTTTAAATTTAAGTGATAAACGTGATGACCTTAACTTTTCAATTGTCAGCTTCCCTTACTTATGCAGCAATATATCCTTATTACCAAATCTCTCAGTTGATTCGATACGCAAGAGCATCAACGTATAAACAAAGTTGACAAAACAGTCTTTTTTAAGTCGTCACATCATTTGTTTTATAGTCCAAACAATAACCTTGTCAGCAAATACAATCTATCCTTAAGTCAAATTTTCAATGATGTCTTTTAACAGTCGTTAGCTCATTATCTACACACTGAATTGCTAACAGTTTTAGCTCACCTGAGCGAAGGCTCAAGTGAGTTTTTCTGATCAACGTTTGTCCGTCGTCTGTCGTCGTTGGCGTTGTCTCTGTAAACTTTTTACATTTTCATCTTCTTCTCAAGAACCACGGGGCCAATTTCAATCAAACTTGCCACAAAGTGTCCTTAGGTAAAGGGGATCCAAGTTAGTTCAATGGAAGGGCCACGCCCACTTCCAAGGGGGGAAATAATTATGATTTTGTGAAAAAATAATAGCATTTTCAAAAAAATCTTCTCAAGAAACCACTGGGCTGAGAAAGATGAAACTCATGTGAAATCATCCTCAGGTAGTGTAGATTCAAGTTTGTTCAAATCATTACCCCCAGGGGTAGGGTGGGCCACAATGGTTGATCATATTTTTGCATAGGAAAATTCTTTAAAAATCTACTTCTAGAGAATCATTGAGACAGAAAAGGTGAAACTCATATGAAATCATTTTTCAGGTAGTGTAGATTTAAGTTTGTTCAAATCATGACCCCAGGGGGTAGAGTGGGGTCACGATGGCCGATCAAAATTTTACACAGGAATATATAGGAAAAACATTTAAAAATCTTCTTCTCAAGAACCATTGAGACAGGAAAGATGAAACTCATGTGAAATCATCCTCAGGTAGTGTAGATTCAAGTTTGTTCAAATCATGACCCCCGGGGTAAGGTGGAGCCACAATGGCCAATGAAAGTTTTACATAGGAATATGTTGGGAAATCTTTTAAAATCTTCTTCTGCAAAGCCATGATTAGTTATATTTGTATGGAAGCATCCACAGGTAGTGTAGATTTAGTTTGTTCAGATCATAACCCCTAGGGATAGGATGGGACCACAATGGGGGATCCAAATTTTACATTAAAATATATTTTTATAAAAGTGTTCCCAAGAATAGCAAGCCATGATTAGTGATATTCATATGGAAGCATCCGCAGGTAGTGCAGATTTTAGTTTTTTTTCAAATCATAACCCCGAGGGGTAGGGTGGGGTCTCAATGGTGGATTAAATTTTTACGATAGAAAAATAAAGGGAAAAATCCAAAGAATAGAAAAGCTTGGTTTAGTCATATTGACATGTAAGCATCTTCATGTGTTGAAGATTTAAATTTGTTCAAATCATGACTCTTTGGGGTAGGGAGGGAAACAACGGGGAATCAATTTCAAATTTAACGAAGTAATATATACATTGTACATTTTACAAAATGTAAAAAAAAAATCTTTAAAAAGCTTTTTTTCAAGAACAACAAAGTTATATGCTGTATTGATATGGAGGCATTCCCAAGTAGTATTAAAATTGAAGCCCCCCTCCCCCCGTAAACTTTTCAATTCTTATCTGATTTGTGCTTTTTTCCTAGCCGATCTGCTGAGGTAAGCGATGTGGCCCCCGGGCCTCTTGTTATTGTTATTTCCCGATCATGACATTGAGCTAACGGCATAAGTGTGACTTGTCGGCAGGGAATACACACTCATTCATGACATCTGATCCCATATCTGAAGTTTGATAGATACTAGTTTGATCTACTCCTGATTTGTATTATTTCAAAACATTTTTGAACTTGAGTACTGTTCTTTTTCTCTAAAATTTTATATTTAATATATGAATCCTCTGTTTTGTACATGAAAATCATACCTATTTTGTCGAATAAACGAAGAAAATGCTCTTTAACAGAATGTGTTCTGTCATATTTCACATTTAAGAATATAATTAATGAACAATAGAAAACAAAGAGTCCATTGTCTCCTTCTTATAATTATATTAAGAACTATTAAATTGTGAATTTTACGGCCTGATATGTCTAAAATGTTTTGAATATTTAACACTCACTATTCTCTTATATAACTGTATCTAATTATTAAGTGTAAACAGTTTATTTCTTCTTTTTAATTTCTTATTTATATGTTATTTTTTAAACCACGTGCAGTTGTTTAAATTAAGATAGAGTCAAACGAAAGGCAGAGAGATATAAGGCATGGTGATTACATTATTACATTTACATCTGTGAAAGGTTTTCTGTAATCTTTAAGTGGCTTTATCTGATAGGATTTCCAATGAACAATATAATGTGTTCTCTTGATGGTATCGTAAGAAATGAAACATATGGAGATAACAGTATTCAAGTTCAAAAGTCTAACAAAACAATACAATAAAAAAGAGGGGCTGAGCAAACACGGACATCCAAATCATCAGAGGTTGGATCAGGTGCCATGGAGGTGTTAGCATCCCCTGCTGACCGGTCACACCCGCCGTGTGCTCCTTGTCATGATCGGAAAATAACGGGAAAATCCGTCGTTAATTCAGTGTTTAAAAATGGTCTGATAATTAGGCTGAAAAACGTTAGTCAGCATTTGATTCAATGATAAATTGTATTTGCTGACAAGGTCATCGTATCGACCATAGAACTTACGAGATGATGACTTTAAATAAGTCGGCTGATATTCTTGTTTCATCAACTTGTTTCTCAATAATTTACCTCGTTTCAGAAATTGTTCATACGTAGAGTATGCTCTTGCATATCGAATCAACTGAAATAAATAAACTCCATATGCAGATGATGAAGGTATATTCTGCATAAGTAAGGACAGTTGACGATAGAAAAGTTAAAGTCATTATGTATATCATGGAGCTTGGTTGTTAGATTACCATTAACATCTTTTTCAAGTGAAATATTCAAATATGAAACAGATGTGTCAGACTTTGTGGTTTCTTTTATATCAAGTTTACCAGGATATGTCGTACCGACATAAGAATGGAAACTATGTTTAATAGACAATGCATCGTCGATAAACTAGTATATAAATGTCGAGTTGAAGGCCACAGCAAGTGTATTCTTCTTTTCACACATTAGATTCTGCACAACTTCTGTGTCATATGAATACAATAATAGGTCTGCTATGCAAGATTTATCCATTCAGACCATTTTTCTATTGAAAGTATTGTAACTTTTTTTGCAAGAACTTCATTTCAGCTGATACAAATTGCCTACTGCCAAAAATTAAATTGCATTGTATACTGTGAAATCACTAATGTTTGAAGGGGGTGGTAATTTTCGTGGGTCTCGATGTATGAAGAGGCCGACCAATTTACGTTCTCAATGAAATTAGTTCTTTTTTACAGATATTTATACTCAACAATTCTTCATCCACGAAAAATCCCCGCGGACCCGTATTTTTTGCTTCAAATTACGAAAATTTGACCTTCAAAAATTGATTTTACAGTGTTTTATCATTATAGATAATTTTTTTTTGTTTGTTGAATTTTTGGGCAATAAATATAAGATAATTATGAATTCAGATTTATCTTCTCTTAAATTAAATGCAATCGTAGATTACTTATAAGGTATTTTTCAGCGACATTATAATGATTAATTATAACATATTTGTGCTGTGTACAAAAACAATCGGAAAAAAGAGTACGATATATAATAAAATGTGAATGCTGCTAAAATAAGCATGTTTACCGTAATAATTGCTATATTACAGATCAAATACGGAGAAGAGGAAGAAATCACAATAAAAGACACAGAAAAAATAATCCTAGCCCCAACGTAAATCAGGAAACGGCATTTTCCCCCCAAGTCGACGTAATGGAAACCATCATTCTACCCACAGTGTGTAAAAAATGTAAAAGGAAACATCCAACTTTTCAAACTTGTAAAGCCATTTGTCCTGATTTAGGTAAATTTATTATGATTACCAGTATACTATACGAGGGTTCGATTCTACAGAATTAATACTATATAGTCTTTGCTTTAACACGTTATATTGAACATCAAACAACAGTAGTTAAGGAAATATTGAAAATGTTAACGTGATGCGTTGATAAGTTGCCAAATAATTCTAAAACGAAAAAAGACCTCATACGATTAACCGAAAACGTCATTGCTATTTCATTTCATAAACAGCTGCTTTCATTTCATTTAATACTGCATGTAGGGAAAGATCCTCACTTAATTATGCAAGCATTGTGGCAACGCACTTTGAAAAAATTACACACTTTGAAAAAAATAATTACACACTTTGAAAAAAGAAAATTACACACTTTGAAAAAAAAATTTCAAAGTGCGTTAAAATTGGGACAAAATCAACGCACTTTGAAAATTTTTTTCAAAGTGAGTTAAATTAAGAACACACTCAACGCACTTTGAAAAACATTTTCAAAGTGCGTTAAGAGTGTACATCATCATTTTTACCATGTGGACATTTAATGCACTTTGAAAAAGAATATGTATGAAACAAAATTTCTAGACTAAGATTTCAGTAATTAAGAGAATCAATTTGTAAAAACTATATCTTTTGAAAAACGTTTTAATTTACATGTATTGATTAACCCTCATCGAGAACAAGGAGAAGATGAGTATATAGTAGGTCTCTCAGATCAACTCTTTTTTACCTAGGTAGCAAATTGAAAGTGGACACCCCCCCCCCCCAAGGTAAGCCCCAATTTTTAATTCCTATATTATGCATATCTTTTGCAAAACATTTGTGTGACTAACACGCCCCCCCCCCCACCGGTACTGATGCCTATGCTACACCCAAATATATGTATTTGCATAACTGGTGTGACGTTGTAAAATTTCAATAAATTTAGTTTACATTAAATGCATGCAAAGTGGAAAAAATTAAGTAAAGTAAAACATTTAAGAGGAAAAGAATTTTCAAAGTATGGAAAAATCAAAATCGCTCACTTTCACATCCTGAAGTGACCTATCACCGAAAAGTTATCCAACAGGTTCAATTATTTTTCATACCTAAGATTTTCAAGAATATTGACCAAGCCATACACATTTTTGCAAAGTGCGTTAATATGGTCGATATCAACGCACTTTGAAAAGAATTTTTTTTTTCAAAGTGTGTTGATTTGGTCCCAAATTTAACGCACTTTGAAAAAAATTTCAAAGTGCGTAATTTTTCAAAGTGCGTTGAAACAAAGCATATTTTGCTTGTCGAATATCAATATATCGATCACACATGATCAACGTCTCTTTTCGACGAAACTGACTTTTAACACACTGACTACAAAAAGACGCAATCTGTGCATCCCCCTTCTGTCTGAGTCTTTTTTTAATATCTAAAAACAAGTACTCTGGATTTATTTTCGTTCTGTGTAGCCCTTTTAACATTTCCTCTCTGAAACCTGTTTAACATTTCTCCTAGGTCTCTACCAGATTTTTCAGTGCATGAACTTTAAAAAATGTTGGTAAAAGAGACCCTCATCGATTTTGACGTCATTTTCAAGTCCTAAACCTTTTAGACACTCCATGTAAAATTTTAGATAAAATTTCATAGAACTTACAGAATTAGTTCAAAATTGCAATTTGTATGGAACAATTTTGTCAAATTTGCCTGGATTAACAGTGCCGATTATATGACAAAATCTGTAGCTCTCTACAGGAAGCGTTAAACATATGGAGGTAACGAACAGTGTATATAAGTTCAAAAGTCCATAAAACAATACAAAATAGGAGCAGAGCAAACACAGACCTCCAAAACATCGGAGGTGGAATCAGGTACCATGGAAGAGTGAGCATCCCATGTCGACCATGTATTTCTACGAACCATACAAATATGTTTTGAATAATACTAGTATGATAGGTGGCTACGTTCAAATAGTATTTCAGATCATAAATGAATAATAATGAATTTATTTGTCCTATATTTTGTCAGAATTATTAAACATGCTACATAAATCTTAAATTTTTGAACACAATTCGCCAATATAGACATTACTGACTTTAAAAGTAGATGTAGATGACTAGGACTAAGTTTAGGGTTGGAGACAATACACATTGAATCATCCAAAAAAACTATTCTTGATGATATTGAGGCTGTGACAAACTCCATGAGCAGAATAAATGATCATTTTTTCCGCTGTAGATTAATTCAAACAGATTTAAAACTTTAACCAGAACCAGTAAAAGTCTTAAACACAAAATTCAAATGATACGACTTTTTTCTATTAAACTTTTTTTCTGTATGCTATTTTGTGAAATGAACACTTATCTAAATATCAAGTCTTGTGCAACATAACTTGCTATATTAAGTTTTACCGAAGTATACTTGCTATTTCAGCTACAGATGACGCGGACAGACGGTTCCTCGGAGATCAATACTGCTCCTTCTGTGAATATTACCGCTCCAGGAGGAGCTATTATCAGCTATGCAGAAATCGATTTTGCGCTTCTGGAAGATAAAGATTCAAACACCGAAACCCAAAAACAAGGAACTGATAAATCAGCGGTTAGATAAAGAGAAAAGAAATTTGTAAATAAAAATGATAAAACATTTATCTTGCTTTTATTTAAACTTTAAATTACCTAGATATTCTAAGAGAAGTTTTGGATAAAATAGTATTTTATTTAATCTTACTTTACAGATAGAATAGATATGTAAAAGAAGATTTAAAAATTTGAATACGACTCATATGATAATTGTATTTTTTGAATATCATGAATTAATTTATTAACAATTATATTTGTTACATAAATATTAAATTTTATAGAAAGAACTATTTCCAATTTTGGTATAAGTTTCTACATGGAGAACGACAGAACAAGACCAAATACTTTCATGGTTTTTGACTTTGCTGCACAGAAAAAATCAAATATTCGAAAATATCTTATGCCTTATTTTGTGTTAAACCATATCTGGTTTACTTACATTATTTAAAAAAAAACATACACAGTAAGATTCTTAAAGAAATATCGCTTACCAAAAATCTAACGGAAAGGGATGATAAAATATCGAGAAAAAAGTAGTAATCAAGCTCAAATGTCAGTTGGAACAAAATGAATCAGAAGCAGAGGGAACAATAACCTCTAAAACATAGATGGGATCAGATGTAATGGACGAAAAAACATCTCCACTGACTGTTCACACATCTGTGTGCTTCCTCGTGAGCTTACGTAGATTAACTTTGAATACGGAACTCTCATCAATTTATCAAAGCGTGTTACATGCTACTTTTCCATTCAAACATATAAATTTAATTTTGAATTATCACATTAATTTTTTTCTAAAAAACGAAATTGGCTAGTCACTTCTTCTTCGCATGATTTGAATTTTTCTGCTTCCAATAATGAATTCCAATTTTTGGTCATATTCTTTAAATACACAGTATGTGTA